TAATTCACTTACATTTACATCCAGTACATTTAATGTGTCAATTACATTAATCTCTTAAATAAGTTTAGTTTTAATTTTATGTGATACAAATTAATAAATCAAGTGTTTAAATATTTGTAACTGCTATTTTGAATCTAAAATTAAATGATTTAGCTCTATAGTCGATCAAGAAGATTATGAACATTTAACGCAAAGTTATAGTTACAGTTTTTTCTCTAAAAATATAACTAGATACAGTTAGAAGTTAATATTTCTGAAGAGTAACGCGTTACAATTACTTTGCAGCTACTTTCTTGCAATAAAAATAAAAATATAAAATCCGTATTTGAATTGTAAAGCATCGATAAAGTCCTCTATGCGCAAATGTAAAGTCTAATGCAATTTGTGGAAGTTTAAAATATATATTATGAAACGATTAATGTAACTATTAAAATAGATACTAGTTATCGAAAAATGTAACTATAATAAATTAAATTATGGTTACTGACGAGAAAGTAACGAAATTAAGTTAACCATATCACAAAAAGTATCTATAATTGTAACTTCGTTACAAATTACGAGTTACTACACAACCATTGAAATATTATAATTATTCTGTTGCATTTTTCACTTTATTATAATCTTCTTATTTAAATACAGGGATTATTCAAGTGTAGACGAAGACTTTAATGAAGATAAAGATGAAGATTTGTTTTAAACCAAAGCAAGAGCGAAAACATTCGTATTAAAAAAGGCAAGATTAGACGTTGGTAAGGAATGCACTCTAACATTGTAAATATTACTGTCTCTATTGCATTTTCTACTCTTTGATTTACCTTTTATGTATATACAGATATTTTATCGAGTAACACGACAATGCCGAAAAACTATGATGTGCGTGACCAAATGCATTCTCAACGTGGAATAACATGTGCGATTGCGAAACATTTTAAAAGACACGAAGCAACTAATGATGTTGCGGATTTTTAATGACTATAACAAGCAATTCACTGACAATGTGACGATTCTGTTCTGTATGAATAAAAGAACATACGCACACATGCACACATGCAAACTTTTTACGGTACCGAGAACGTTTAGAATCTTTTTACATCGTGCGTTACGGGCCAAAAAGCGATTCGTTGAATTTATACACGTGTTATGTTACAGATCAGACGTATGTACATTTTTGAAGCCTTCTGTAATTAGTTTCATAAATCTAGCATATTATTTTTCTTTTATTCTTTTCTTAACATCTCACATTACATAACATTTATCTTATTGCTTGATATCTTAAATATCTAATAAAAATATCCTTAACCC